CCAGAACTTTATTTATCCCAACAGGAAAATTCATTCGTCTGGACTCTCATAAAAAATCCTCTGCTGGAAGGACAGGTAACAAACGGAGTGAATCCAGTCAGGTGAGAGGAGAGAGTGACATGGATGAGTCTGTATCCTAGCAACAGCATCATGAAGAATACATGTGTACGAGTGTCAAGTATTGATTTGATATAACTGAACTCCCCTGGAACATAATCTGGACGTAGAGTTCAATATCTGGACAACAAAACGTCTCCCTGACAGCCGTGTGTGAGGAGTAAAGTCTGACCTCCTCCTTTCTTCTGTGGAGGTGTTTCACCTCCTTCTTCTCCAGTAGAACCTGCTCCGTTACGGTTGCTGACTCGTCCTCTTCTGTTGCTCCTCTCTCCTCTGGGGTCCCACACGGCTCTATTCTCGGCCCTTTTCTCTTTTCACTGTTTTGTCGATGATCTGCAAATATATCCACCAGTGAAGCCAAACAATGGCAGTGTGAAAAGTCTTTGTTTGCTCGTCTTGTTGATGTGAAGCAGCGGTTCGCTCAAAGTTTTCTTCATGTAAATAATAAATAATGAGAAGAGTGAATGTTTTGTGTTTGGGGACACAGTGACGGCTGACTTTGGCTGCTTGTTTCTAAACTGTCAGGAATCTGGGAGTGGATTTTGACAAACACCTGAAGTTTGAAAGACAAACAAACATATTGTCAGGACTGGTTTCTTCCAACTCCGTCTCCTGGCCAAGGTCAAAATGTTTTTAAATCGTCACGACCTTGAGATAGCCGTCCAAGATTAGACTATCGTAATGCCCTTTATGTCGGCATCTCCCGATCTTCATCTTGTCCAAAATGCTGCTGCCCGTCTTTTAACCAACACTAACAGACGTGAGAACATCACTCCTGTCCTCAGCTCTCTTCACGTCTTCACGTCTTGATTTGAAACTTTTAATGTTTGTTTTTAAAGCTCTTAACGGTCTCGCCTCCGTCTATTTAACTGAGCTTCAAACCGTTCAGGAGCTCTGAGGTCGTCAAATCAACTTCTGCTGGAGGTCAAAACACAAACACTGACCGAGACGTTTCAGTCGCTGGTCCGGGGCTCTGGAATAAACTGAAATAAGACTTATTTACGACCTAGAGCTTCTCAAATCCAGATTGAAAACGTATTTATTTACATAAAACACTTTGGTTCACTGAAAGGGTTGATGTAGATACTGTTTAAATAAAGAACATTTACATTTACATTCTAGCTTTAGCATCTCGGTCTGATCTTCTGAGAGTAAATCTAAGTAGATCCACACTTCATGGTATTCTTTCTCAGGATTCACCAATATCTCCACCTCCCAGCATTCAGCCCTACCTTCACCTTGACACCAGCTTGGTAACCATGATAAACACCTCATATGTCCTCTAGAGTTGGATGTTGTAGAAACAAAGAGTCAAAGTGCAGGTTTCATAATTATCCTCTGAAGTTTCCGGGTTTGTTAATGTGTTTTCAGAAAACATTTATCCTCATATTTCGGGGTCATATACCTGACATTAGCACACGCACACCTGGAGGATATTTGTTTCTTATTATGCAGGAGCGTTTCTGTGGCCGTTGTGTCTGCGCTCTGTTACCTTTTCATTACGGAGATGAAAAATGTCTCTGCCCGCCGTAACAAATCAACAACTGCAGAAAGAGCGGCGAGTTTTCCTATTTCACACTGACTTAAAGGTCTCTGTGGAGGAAATAATGGAGAGAGGAGAGAGTTGTTCTGGAGATAGAAACTCCACATTAGCAGCAGCGTTTGAGGTTTTCAGTCTGGACCTGATTTCCCCGACAGAGAAGAGAAGAAATTGACTTTGGGGTCAAGCGGCTAATTGCAGAAAGGCGTTTGTAATTGGAAGGGAGATTTAATATGATGGTACATAATGTGAGAGAGCTGTGTTCTTTGAATAACAATGAAAGGAATCAGATTTAGATGGAGCTGCTCTCTGGGTCAGTGGAGGACGTCTCACTCTTTCTTTTCTCAAACACTCGACGTGAACAAACAGATTTTTTTAAAGTCATATTTACTTTAAAACGTGTAGAAATAGTCAAACATCTTTAAGATAGAAAAGAGATTTAACCGAGAACATGTTGTCTCAGATCCGGATTAAAGACGAGGAGAAAACGAGGACAGAGATCCGGATATGATGTTTCAGGACAACAGCGCTGTCCATGGTGCTGATTCTGTTAAAGTGGCGTTTCAGCCTTCGAAGAAACACCAGGTGTGTTTGTTCAGCTGGTTGGATATTTGACATATTATTGTTGCCGACACTGTTGTCCTTTCCTACATATTTCAGTGAAGTTTCTTACCCCCAATCTCCACATCCTGATCGTCTCCTAAAAGGTCGTATCCTCCAATCGTAGCTGATCGTAACCATTCAAGTTAACGTGTCAATTTACACCGACTTCTTTCCGTTCCTCTGCGGATCGCCGGACTCCTCAGCTGATCACAAGAGTTCTATTTTTTCTGGACGCCGGAGCATGGCGGATAAATTCAGCACAGATTAACCCGTGCTGGAAAGGAAGTCGGGCACAGACTTCAAAATAAAACATCCGGCTTCTTTTCAAAATAAAAGACTCCGTGTTTCAGGAGGATCGTATTTCACACCATGCAAACGGGCGGAGACGAACAAGTGAAAGGTTTTTAGACGTCATTTCACCCCGATGACACCATGGATGAGGAGATGCTGATTCTAGAAGTCTAGAAGTAGATTTCCTCCTCTGGAAGGACACAATCTACTGCTTATATGTCTATGTGTCTGTCTTTATAGAGACAACTCGTTATCGTGAGATTGAACGTGAATCTGCGAGTTCTTGTGAGTTCTCACGATTCCTGCTGTCAGTAATCCGCCACGAAATTCGCCTCACAAATGGATCTGGTAGGAATTGGCGTATGGCGAAAATTGCCGCTGTTCCGGACCGGAGCCGTTCTGGATGCAGGTCACTGTTAAATTCACATGACCTTCCATCAGCCGTATGATCAGTACGATAATAACAGTTTATATTGAACAGACGACTGTCAGGTTTTCATCTCTAGATCTTTCAGAAAGTCAAAAATCAGTTCAGCTGTTAATGGCGTTCCTCAGGGTTCAGTTTTAGGTCTGTTACTGTTTAACCTTCACATAAACAACACTGTATTCACACCGTCACGTACACCTGTATGCAGAGGACACACAGATATAACATGTATTACTCTGTTTCTGTTGAGACCTTTGCTTTTTCCTAAACTATGTATCTGAAATGTCCCTGCGTCCCCCTGTAGTTTGTCTCATATATACAGTTTATACAAACACAAAGACCTGTGTGTACGCCCTGTCCCCGTCTTCTTCCATGTTGAAGTTTTATTAAACACACTCTCTCTCTCTCTCCCTCTCTCTCTCTCTCCCTCTCTCTCTCTCTCGGTCTCTTTGGAGTCAGGTAAACATGAACAGACTTTATTTAAAACCCGGCGGCGTCCTCAGAGACCGGACTAACACTTCATTTTGATCCACAGCGGCCCAGAGGCCCCGCAGTCCCTGTTTCAATTACAGAGTAATTGCTGTTTGTTTGTTATGATCTGCGCCATTAATTTCATGCTGTACTGGGACCAGTCGAACCAGAGTCATGTGACCTGATTAAATTCAGCAACGCGGTGACATACAGATGTAAAGCCAGCCGCAGAATTAAAGGCACAGGAAAGACAGAGAGAGGCGACAAATATCAGCATTTAAAGACCTTTTATTGTGATCAGATCGAATGATAGACGATAAAATCATGTTGTCATTTCTCCCTCCTGCAGCAGACTATCAGGCCGTAATGTCTGAAACACAATTCTTTCTCCGTCCTCTCACAGTTCCTGTTTTTGTCGCTGACAGACTCCGATTGTTGTTCTCTTGGTTTGACAGCGTTACAGAAAGGACCCCTGCTGAGAGAGAGGAAGAGGATTTTCAACCACAACAGCTGTGAGACGATTCTCTGCAGAACCTCCAGAAACTGCACCGAGAGAACCAGCAAACACGACGTTTGCAGGACTTCTACAACGAGGATAAAGTGACATAGTCCAGGACCCGAGGGAGGACAGTTTAGCGATGGCGCTACAACACGCTACAGCAGGTCCGTTTGACAAGAAACACTTCTGTTACAGACACTTGTCTTACTTTGTTAAAGCGGTTTACCTGTCCAGCAGAAAGGTTACAGGGTCACCAAGATCCCCAAGCGTCCCCCATCGTTTATGTTGACCCGGCTTTTTAGCTCTTGTCCGGTCTACCTCCGTTTTAAGCGCCCGTTATTCCTCCAGAGTCTCCGGTATTTACTTTGTTTTCTTGCTTGTGTCGGCAGTCGTGGCCAAAGGAGGATTCAGACAATTTTCCGAACTTTCTGGTTGGTTTCTACTGTCCGATATTGTAGCACGCTAACTTTGTTTGGGCTCCTGAACGACACGGGGGAGCAGCATTTTCTTGTTGACTGTTTTCTTGTTGACTGTTTTTTTTGTTGACTGTTTTTTTTGTCGACTGTTTATGGTTGACGTTTTCTTGCTGACTGTTTTCTTGTTGACTGTTTTCTTGCTGACTGTTTTCTTGTTGACTGTTTTCTTGTTGACTGTTTTGATGTTGACTGTTTATGGTTGACGTTTTCCTACTGACTGTTTTCTTGCTGACTGTTTTCTTGTTGACTTTTCTTGTTGACTGTTTTGATGTTGACTGTTTATGGTTGACGTTTTCCTGCTGACTGTTTTCTTGCTGACTGTTTTCTTGTTGACTGTTTTCTAGTTGACTGTTTTGATGTTGACTGTTTTCTTGTTGACTGTTTTGATGTTGACTGTTTATGGTTGACTGTTTTCTTGCTGACTGTTTTCTTGTTGACTGTTTTCTTGTTGACTGTTTTGATGTTGACTGTTAATGGTTGACTGTTTTCTTGCTGACTGTTTTCTTGTTGACTGTTTTGGTGTTGACTGTTTTCTTGTTGACTGTTTTGATGTTGACTGTTTTCTTGTTGACTGTTTTGATGTTGACTGTTTATGGTTGACTGTTTTCTTGTTGACTGTTTTCTTGTTGACTGATTATGGTTGACGTTTTCTTGCTGACTGTTTTCTTGCTGACTGTTTATGTTTGAGTGTTTTCTTGCTTGTGTCGGCAGTCGTGGCCAAAGGAGGATTCAGACAATTTTCCGAACTTTCTGGTTGGTTTCTACTGTCCGATATTGTAGCACGCTAACTTTGTTTGGGCTCCTGAACGACACGGGGGAGCAGCATTTTCTTGTTGACTGTTTTCTTGTTGCCTGTTTTGGTGTGGACTGTTTTCTTGTTGACTGTTTTCTTGTTGACTGTTTTCTTGCTGACTGTTTATGGATGACTGTTTTCTTGCTGACTGTTTATGGTTGACTGTTTTCTTGCTGACTGTTTATGGTTGACTGTTTTCTTGCTGACTGTTTATGGTTGACTGTTTTCTTGCTGACTGTTTTCTTGCTGACTGTTATCTTGCTGACTGTTTATGGTTGACTGTTTTCTTGCTGACTGTATTCTTGCTGACTGTTTTCTTGTTGACTGTTTTCTGGCTGACTGTTTTCTTGTTGACTGTTTTTTGTTGACTGTTTTGGTGTTGACTGATTATGGTTGACGTTTTCTTGTTGACTGTTTTCTTGTTGACTGTTATCTGGCTGACTGTTTTGGTGTTGACTGTTTATGGTTGACTGTTTATGGTTGACTGTTTTCTTGCTGACTGTTTTCTTTTTGACTGTTTTCTGGCTGACTGTTTTCTTGTTGACTGTTTCTTGTTGACTGTTTTGGTGTTGACTGTTTATGGTTGACTGTTTTCTTGCTGACTGTTTTCTCGCTGACTGTTTTGGTGTTGACTGTTTATGGTTGACGTTTTCCTACTGACTGTTTTCTTGCTGACTGTTTTCTTGTTGACTTTTCTTGTTGACTGTTTTGATGTTGACTGTTTATGGTTGACGTTTTCCTGCTGACTGTTTTCTTGCTGACTGTTTTCTTGTTGACTGTTTTCTAGTTGACTGTTTTGATGTTGACTGTTTTCTTGTTGACTGTTTTGATGTTGACTGTTTATGGTTGACTGTTTTCTTGCTGACTGTTTTCTTGTTGACTGTTTTGGTGTTGACTGTTTATGGTTGACTGTTAATGGTTGACTGTTTTCTTGCTGACTGTTTTCTTGTTGACTGTTTTCTTGCTGACTGTTTATGGTTGACTGTTTTCTTGCTGACTGTTTTCTTGTTGACTGTTTTGGTGTGGACTGTTTTCTTGTTGACTGTTTTCTTGCTGACTGTTTTCTTGCTGACTGTTTTCTTGTTGACTGTTTTCTTGCTGACTGTTTTCTTGCTTGTTGACTGCCAAAGGAGGATTTTTTGAACTGACTGTTTTTCTTGTCCGATATTGTGCACTGTTTTTTGCTGACTGTTTTCTTGTTGACTGTTTTGGTGTTGACTGTTTATGGTTGACTGTTTATGGTTGACTGTTTTCTTGTTGAATGTTTTGGTGTTGACTGTTTATGGTTGACTGTTTTCTTGTTGACTGATTATGGTTGACTTTTTCTTGCTGACTTTTTTCTTGTTGACTGTTTTCTTGTTGACTGTTATCTGGCTGACTGTTTTCTTGTTGACTGTTTTGATGTTGACTGTTTATGGTTGACTGTTTTCTTGTTGACTGTTTTCTTGTTGACTGATTATGGTTGACTGTTTTCTTGTTGACTGTTTTCTTGTTGACTGTTTATGTTTGAGTGTTTTCTTGCTTGTGTCGGCAGTCGTGGCCAAAGGAGGATTCAGACAATTTTCCGAACTTTCTGGTTGGTTTCTACTGTCCGATATTGTAGCACGCTAACTTTGTTTGGGCTCCTGAACGACACGGGGGAGCAGCGTCTGCCTCACAACCAATCAGGTTAGAGGAGGTGGAGAACGGCTTTGTTTACAGTCAGAAAGAGCGGACCGCTCAAAAATGTTCAAATGTTGACGACACAGACATAAGAGAACACAGAGATATCGATATATTACCAAACGTCATCAATAACTAATAACTATTGACTGATATTTAAAGATTTTTTGTAAATACACCACAAAAAAAAGATGCTTCTTAAAGGGATTCCTGCCGACCCCACCTTTAATATAACTCCTACAGTGACCTGTGTTTGTTCCGGTTCAAAGCCGGTCTGATTAGTAACTCTGGAGAGACTCGGTTCAACCTCTTCACACCCTTCAGCTCACTTATCAGCTGCTTCATTACCAAAAAAAAGGAGTTGGACACACCCTGACTCACTTTGCACTTCAGGTCATGTGATCAGGTCATGTGATCAGGGACAGCCTAAAGGACCCGTGCGTCGTGTTTGTCCCAGTTTAAAACCAGGTTTAAACTCACAGGAGGTTCCTTCAGTTGAGTTCTTACAGTTTTCTCTCAAACTCACAAAAACAAATGAAATCTAAAACCCTCTAAAATGGATTTTCCTGCTCAGACTTGTTTTAAATAAACTTGATTCGCTCGGAGACAGAGGCCTTCTGT